CAAATTCAGAAGCAGGATCAGTCCTGCTGACTTGTTTATTGCCAACACCCCTGTGAAAAGCCTGAGGAAGTGTGTGTATCTCTGCCTCTGATATGAAGGGAAATGTATGTCACTATTTAGGGAAGATTTTCAAAGACAAACATACACCTAGATGCTAGATCCACAGACTAAGTTGCCTAAAGCAGAATTTAAATGCCTAAGTCTAATATTTAGCTCCCCAGAGATCTATTCATCGGCTTTAAGTGCCTAAAGTCCATCCACACCTAAGTTTTTTTTACATTAAAGTTCCCCAGGTACATGAAGTTATGCATCTGTACATGCTCACAAGCTCCTCAGTCTTGACGAGGCTGAACAGCTGATAGAAACTCTTACACCTAAGTACCATGAGGATTCCCAAAGTGGGCAGTCCTCCAAATGTCTTACCTGAAGAACTTAACATGGTAGCCATTTTCAGAGCAGAACACAGTGGCTTCTGAATTTCTTCAAAGGAACATCTTCTTCAACAGTGACACCACTTCCTTATCAAATTATCATCTAGTGCTTAGAATGCCCAGCTAGGAAATGAGGGTTCATATTCCTCCTTTGCCTAAGAAGAATCAAACCTACATTTTTGTCCTTAGAGGAAGTGCCCATAACCATACTCACCACACCTATATCCATACCACATCAAGCTTACTTATTTCTGCCAAACCTCATCAGCTCTGCCGTAAGACGTTCCTACATAAAAGGATCAGGATTTGTTCCTAAATTATTTGAGACCATAAGCAATTTCCCATATTTATTTCAGGAACAAAAATCAGATGACTCTCAGAAGTAGCTGGACATGTATGCAGTTGTAAAGAAAATAACTGTAGAGATAACAGAGAGTATAGACACCTTTTTCCTGAGGAATGATGAGTTATAAATGGTTGTGTTGTCTCCTTGCATCTTTCCACCCCTACTCTTGTGGTTCAGTGATAGAATCCTTGCCTGCCTTGTGATTATCTAGGTTCACTCCCTGGATGCACGTGTAACTACAGCCATCACAGTACTGGATGTCTGGACTCAGTCTGGCCTTTGGATTCTGTCTCAGTGGTCTAAGGGGGGATGGAAGGTCTGGACAGGTTACACTCCTGCCTAGGTGCATGTGTCAAATGTTTGGGTCATCTCTCACACATACATCATGGGTGCCTATACACATGCAGGAAGACTGCTTTGATATGCTGTAATTACTTGATTAATCGAGTCTGCTAGAGTATGGTAATGATTGATCTACAGCAGACTCTAGCATCATATGCATCCCCTCACTCAAAAATGGCAGCAGGGGGTGCTTTAACTAAAGCTTGTTAGTGTGATGCTCTGGGTATGTCCCTCCCTACTCCCAGAGCATGTGTATAAACCACCCATGGTCTAGAGGGATTGACATTTGCCTCCTACTACTTAGTTACTACCTGATGTAGTTATTATTTACACATGAAATGTCTGAACATTTTCATTTTCACTAATTAAGAAAAACATTTTATAGTCATCATGCTGTAAATTCTTACTGCATATTCCTGTTCCCACTCTTATCCATGCCCTGGAATTTTGAATATGGTTTGCAGTAGGGAAAAAAGCAACCTAAATTTCATTTTCTACCACTAGGTGACACTTTTTGTTCTTGGATACATGCTGTGGGGTTTGGCAGGTGAACGGATCTTATTGGTTTACTAGAGGCATGATGCCACCAGGCAACCCTTTTTAAGAGAAAAAGCTAGGAACTGTGGAAAGATCCCTATACTGCCTCCCTATTCTGAGGAAGTAGAAATCTGTGAACTGTCATTTCAAAACAAAAATGAGTGAGGTGAGTGGATAAACCTTTTATCTGGAAAAAGAGAGAGAGAGAGAGAGAGATGGAGATGTAGATACCTGAAGGAGAAGTAACATTGGTGTAAGGAAAAAATACAGCTTTTAAAGAAAAATAGTTACAATCAACTATGAATTATTTACATTTTAGAAAAGCAGCCATCTATAACTAGCTATCTTAATGGCTACAGATAGTCAACTAGATTACCTGATGTTCTCCTTACCTATATAAAACATCCAGTGATAAATATTATATTTACTCTTATTAGTAAGTATGCTTTGAAATGTCCAGCTAGTTGTTAATTTGTAACTTAATTAAAAATCAGAATGAAATTACACTGTAACTTTTAGCAATCGGTACCTGCAGATTTCAGAAGCATCTGTTCACTGGCTCTGCAATCAGAAATATATTTCTAATAGAGATTATCAATAATGGTTGTCTTTTACTTAATTAGTATAGCTTAGTACCTTAGAGATACAGACTGACATTTTAAAATTTCTTTTTCTGTTTCCTTCTATGTGGTAGAAATGAGCTGACAAGTCAGTCACGTAAAAGTTAGACCAGTGAAGTATAGAACTCACTTGAAAAAAATGCCCTGTTGTTTGTAGTTTGCCAGTGATATGTACTGTGTAGCTATTGTTCTGGGAAAGATAATATCAGTAATCCTCCATGTAACCAGTAAAGGAAAATGCAAATACTACCAAGCATGAAAGGATCTTTGTGTAGTGAAAAAAGTGAGCTGAATGTTAAATGACTACAATTGCTCTATTTGTAGTGAGAAACTTTCAGTGACAAACCAATATTTCTGTTTTAAAAAGTGTACTCGCTCAAGCATCAGACAGTTTCAGTTAGGAATTTCTCAGATTCTGCAGTTTGTCTGCTTTTTTTCATCCCAAATCGATAGAGATAGGTGCAATAATGTCTTATCCGGTGTTTATTTGTGGAGGTTCTTTTCTGTTATAATGAAGCTATTGCTGTTTTGACAGATGAACACTCCTGTAGTAGCAGTCATGGTAGAAATAATACAACCCCCCCCCAATATAAGTTTCTGCCTGTGTTTGGTACAATGTACTTTACCATAATGTACATGAATGATTTGTGACAAACATGAGAAGTAGACATAAGGAGTGCTGTTGTATATTGGTCCAAAAAGCAAAGGGCTAAGCATTTCAGTTCATAATATGCAGTCTGTAATGGTCTAGCAAGCAGAGGGAATCCTCATCATGTGTTCCTGCTGTGTGTGATTCACATCAGAGTGCTGAGAGAGGCATCTGTAACCACGCAGCTTTTCCTCTGTTCAATGTACATTTGAATAAACTGGGTCTATAATGTAGCTTTTACATAAGAAGTTTCCCTCTGTCATGTGCCGTAGTTAAAATGCTTTGTCTCGTATGGCATTTTTGTTCTTCTTTTTAAATATAATATTTTTAAAGCATTCCTAATTTGAAATGGTGGCAGGCTGATTATTGTTGTGTATATCTGCCTCATGGCAATGTACTTTTGCATTGTCTTCTCATGGCAGCAGTTCATACAGTGGTTGTTCACACTGCAATAGTTTACATAAGTTCCCTTCTTTTCTCTAGCTAGTCAGCTACAATGCCCCATGAATATCAAAGGTCAGGATGCCTTCACAACAACTGGGATTCCCTATTATTATGAATAAACTAAGCTATCCCATGCAAAACAGGATTTCTGGTAAATTCTTATCACAGATGATGCTGGATTTCCTCCCTAGTACAATTCCTAACTTCCTATCAAACGCCTACTTACCAATTCTTAACACTATCCTGAATGCTCCTAAGGACAGAGCTATTATCATTGTCATTTAGGAGATGATGACACTTGGAGAATTCACAGCAACTGTAGTAGAAAGCAAAGCCTTTTAGCTGTTCCTTAGTTGATTATTTTTCCTTCAAGACTCAGAAAAAACAAATGCAATACTTCAAGTCCCCTCTGAAGGACTTGGTTAAAAGAGTTGAAGAGCAATTGGTAGAAAGCAATCATTTTACTTGTCTGAACTCAAAACGTTTAGATCAGGGTCTTGATGGATTTTGTCTGTAATGGAGTAACTGAAAATGTTTCAGATTTGTTTGGTTTTTGTAGTGGATCATTACTGATCAGGAAATCTGAGGGTAATACATCCGAAAGGCTCAAGTACTTCTATTGAAATATTATGCATAAATAGTTTGGAATCTGAGTGGACAAGGAAGATAATCCCAAAGCTGTCATTTGTGTTTCAGGTTAATAACTGTAAGAGTCTGAGCAGAGCAAAGAATGCAGACATACAGATCTAAACAGAAATGAGTTCCTTCCAACTCCATTTGCTGCAACTTGTCTTGTTTTCCTTCCGTTTTATTGCTTCATGGAAATAATCAGTTTGGTTTCCCCCTTATGGACACTCAGTTACCAATAAACGTCTGAAAAGAGTTGAACAGCATAGACATTCATCAGCTTGATTGTGCCATTTTTTTATTTCTCAACAGTTAACTCATTTATTTTTTGTGGACAGAGAACTTTTAGAGGAGAAAAAGCCATCAAACTTCATTAGGGAATGTTTCCATTTGAAAATGTATCTATATTTCTATGTGGCACAGGGAAAAAATGACTCTACTGTTAGTCACACATCTATAGCATATGACAGAGCAGTTCAGGTGTCTTGATATGGCTCTAAGTCTAAGACATGCGTCTGAGCCATATCCTAGTTATATGTTGATATCTGCTCCCTGTTGACCCAGGTGTAATTTGGCATTTAGGCTTGGGATTCAAAAGCAGCCAGATGTGACATCAGCCACATCACTCATTTGTGTGCTGGTGACTATGCAAACTGGCAGGCCGAACTCTTGCTAGCCCAATGAGCCATCTGGGCAGAACTTTGATTAGGATTACAAAGGGATTTAGGCATCTAAAAACAAAAATAGACACCTAGTGCAACTTCTTTTTTTTTAAAGCACTCGAGAAGGGCAGTCCACTGATTTTAAACACACTTGAAAATTCCATTGGAAAACTATCTGCATCTTTAAGCATGTTTCCCTTGATAATCTGTCTCCAAAATTCTGTTTCATAAGGGATCAATAGGAGCTTTTTAAATACCTCCAGTGAGCCCCGGGTCAGTCAGTAAAGTTTCAGACTATGCCAATGAACTCTGTTGAGTTTTCCAGCTGTCTTCCATTAAAAGGAGTGGGTCAACGATGGAAAAAGAGCCCTTGTGAATAATTTATTTACAGAAAATAAAAAATACATCAAATAAATTATTGACAACAAAGAGTTCTACCATTGACCTGCCTGACTCAAATTTGGCATCAATTTGACTTGCCTCAAGAGAATCACATCACTTCATCGTAGACATTTAATTATATGATGCTTCATGGGCAATGTCTGGTCATGGCAACATTTTCTCATGGCATTAGAGTTCATAGGAGATGTTGCATCACATATTTTACAACAGTCACAGGTATATTTGTCTTGGGCAGTGTAAATGTGAGCCTGCCTGTCATTAGGAATCAGATCCAGACCTGGGCACATGCAAAAATCTTTTAAACAGTAAAAGGAGGAGGGCCCAAGCAATGCAGGAGTATGGTGGGTGCAGGTGGGTGCAGGTGGGTACCAAGGGGAGGCATGGGGGTACAGTGCAGCAGGGAGGGGGCTGTCTGTGAAGGCATGTGGCCTGGCAATGCCTGTGACCCCTCAGTGGTGGCCTGCTGGTGTGTTGCCTCCACTGGGTATTTGGCCCCCTGCAGCTTAGTTCTGGATAGTTCTGACCTACAATGTAACCCTCCCCATCAACACAGCCAATAGTTTATAGCCACAATCCAGAGAAAATAAATGTATGGGCAAACTGTAGTTATAAAATAGGGGGGGGGTAAAGGAAATTCTGCAGCTGGCATAAGAGGATAGAGAGACAGGAGATTAAAGATCTCTTTAATTTTAACTAGCACCCATTTATTAGTGGGGTGGCAAATTGCAGCTCAGAGAGGGAGGGGAAAGGGAGAACAGTATGTTTTAGACCTGTCACTTTGCCCACTCTCTCCTTCAGCTTGGTGACAGAGCAGGATCACCTTCCTCTTAAAGTATCATTTAATAGTTAGGGTGGAAATCAGGGTCTGCCTAAGTCTGTGAACCTGGTAAACATAGGTTTTTTTTAAAAAGAAAATCAAATGGGTTTTCTTGCTGCAGGAAATCCAAATGGATTTGTCATCATTACTAACTGTTTTACAGAAACTAAATTGTTATTCTTGGGTCAAGCTTCCAATTTACCCATTTCCTTCTGAGAAAACAAATCATAAAGCAAACAACGGTAGGACTCTGACAAAGAGGGTGAAAAAATATTCCTTCCAGTGCGCAAGTACAACGAGGGTGAGTTGAGGAGTGCAGTGGGAACATGGTCATGGTCACAAAGACCCTATTTCCCAGTCAGATTTCTTTACATTTCTAATACCATATCATGCTTACAGAGGGGGCTGTTTTTTCCTCCAAACAGTTTCCAATTTTTTGGACCAATCCCTGCTCACACTGATTTTTTTTGTAAGATTCTCACTGATTTCAATGAATTTCTATAATGAGAAAAACTCATTTGCTTATTGATTTCAGTAAAATGTGTTTAGACTGTCACCATTTGCTATTTTTTTTTCTTGCTTTGCTATTATGGAGATGGCAAGGAAAATGTTGGGTGGAGGGTCAAGTGCGTTCTACTTGATTTCTATGACTATACTGTAGGGGTGCCCAACCTCTGACTTGCAGGCCAGATCTGGTTCATGAAGTTGTGTAATCCAGCCTGCAGGGCTCTCCAAGAGACCAGAAATTTGGCAGGGATGAGCCATGGCAGTTAATGTTGCCATTGCTTCTCCACTTCCAAATTTCCAAGCCCTGTGGACCAGATGGCATGGCTCTGCAAGCAGGAGTCTGCTTACATGCCTAGGGGTGGACGATGGCTAGGGTGGCAGGGCTGATCCTATGCATGCAGCTGGGGGCAATGGCAGTGCCCAGTGCTACATGTGCAG